TACGCTGAGGAGACTGTTGACTGACATCACACGCCAAATCCTTGCGTGGATACCGAATGAAAGGTAGTGAGTTAGGTGTCCAAAGACATGACATGGTGAAGATCATGTGAGTTTATGGGCGATCATGGAGCCATTTTGAAAAGAAAGCAGATAAGAGATGGGCTTCTAAGATCATATGATCCACTGGATATCCATATGAATAATAATAATAATAACAAATCATTACTATGCAATTCTAGATGCTGAGACAGAAACAATTTCTTCTTGTTTAATTAGTCAAAGCAGTTAAAGGTTTCACAGGTCGGTGGATGGACCTCAGTGATAAAAATGCAAGCTATTAGACACCGCTTTACAGGCTGGATAATGCACGACAACTGAAAAAAATTAGTCTGTGTTTGAAATGAACCTACACCAATTATTTAATGAATTTCTACCCCTTGATGAATTTGAATAAAGCAAGAATAACAATGGTTTATGCAGAATAATATGGTGCAATCACTTATTCTGTTGGCTTCTCATCAGCTGCTTACAGCCTAAATAAATTATGAGGTTTATGCACAGAAAAGGTTTAACATACTTGCGAATTCTTCATGATGTCAGTTGGCAGAAGGTTCCACAATTAGTGAACAGTGCTCAGAAAATTGCGCTTATATAGTTTTTACACAGGCAGTTCAAGTTTAAACAAAATAAATGTATGCATACAATGGTAAAGGAGTTGCGTAATAAAGACGAGAGATGCGTAAGATGATGAGTGACTAATAAATTTGGTAACAGGGTACTGAGTTCAACTCAAATCATAGAAATAAGAGACAAACAAAATTACACTATGTCAAAGGGGTTAAGTTAAAGCCAAAGATTACGTATTCAAATGAAAGAAAGAATGAAGACATCCAGTTAGCAGGTTGACAAAGAAAGACTAATAACTACTTCTTTCTGAACACATAAATCTGGTTTCAAGCGTTTGATAGGAATTGCTTGGGCAAACTTGAGGAGAGTCGAGTTCGTTTGTCCATTGATAATTTTGAAGGATCTTGTAATGTCCACCTCATCATGACTCGTATTCAATGAAATATCTGGCAAATATCTTGGCGTCATTCTCTCTGCTGATATTTCCTGGTCGTCTCATATCTTGATGATTTCTAAGAAAATATTCCGTATCACTTTGTACATCAAGAAGTTAAGATATTCTGGACTAACTCAACCCTTACTCCTACGATTCGTGAACTCTTGCATCCTGCCTATTATTCTCTATTGTTCCCCCTTAGTTTTTCCAGGGCTGGCTACTGAAGAAAGACTATATCTTATTATGTAGGATTTTAAATGTTTTCAGCAGGGTAAGCAACGTGCCACCTAACCAGCTTGTTAATATTCTAGTAGACAGGCACTTGGACTCATGTGAAAAATAGGCTAGATCCATTCTATCTAACTCACATCACCCTCTTCATTCAAAACTCATCAGGTGGGACCAGTAGCCTATATAGGAAACTATATGCTCGCACCAACAAGTACAAAAACTCATCCATACCCTACTTAGCTCGTGTTCTGTGCGATAAAGAAAGCATTAGACGTGATACCTTTAACTTATTAAATAGTCAGTAGAACAACTGGATCCAGTCTTTCCAATTCATATCATTTATAGGTACAACGTTTTCTTTCTTTCTTTTGCTTTTCTCTTTTTTTTTGTTATATGCTGCTTTGTTCCTCTCTTCCTTACAAACTCTATTTATAACATTCTTCTTCGTTCTTTCACACTCTATAGATCTCGATCTTTTTGTTACCACTTACGCCAATAAATATGCTAGTATCTACTTTTCTAACGCCTTCAAACACTCTGTTCAATTTTGGCTTTGCTATTGACATCCTAATATGTTGTTGTCAAAACTAACCAAGATTAACTTAATTAATGTAGAATTTTATTAATTGTTAATGTACTAACTGGATGCAATACTGTAGTAAAATGCTGAGAATTCTATTCTGTATCACAAGTACAGTTTTGGAATAAAGCATTATTATAAGGGCACTATTGAGAGTGTTTGTCCCCTTAAGAGATGTAGACTTTTCGGTACGCTCGATTCGCCTCAAGTTTGTCGAAGCAATTTCTATCAAACGCTTGAAACCAGATTTATGTGCTCAGAAGAAGAAATTGGCACAGCCACTTTCCTTACCTTGGCCACTGTTACATAAATGTAATAAACCTGACTGCTTTGAAAATTATAACTGTCCGAATTATTTTATTCTTTTTTTTCTGACTACATCATCTTTAATCTCAATTTATCATTGTCCAGATTTGTTTTTTTGTCTTTAAATGGCTGTTACGCAATCAACTTCAACACTCGCTTATTCCCTAATTACTCTCCATTATTCCAAAATTTTGACAGTCGATGGCACAGCGGTAGAGTGCTCGTCGACCACGCAGGTGGTCCGGGGTTCGATCCCCGATCGACGCACTCCTTTACGTCGCTAAGCTGGAAATAAAACGCTGGTGAAGAGGGAAGGTTTGGCATGAGGCTAGCAACCCCAGCCTGTACAAATAATCACCACTGATACAGAAACTTCAAGCCTCTAGGTCGAAGCCGTATGTAAAGGAATGAAAAAAATTCCAAAATTATGCATTATGCAATCCACTTGTTGTAACCATCCCCACCTTCGTTCATTATCACCCCGTCGACATGTTAATAATGATTAATTATTGTTAATAAACATATCACTGCCAATTGATTGGTAAATTGTTGTGTATTATAATAAAAATACTATATGTGTAAAGTAGAGTATAAGCAGAGATAAGGATTTAATTAAAGAAGTATTATACTTATATATGTCCAAACCAAGTTCACTTTTAACGGATTGAAAAAATTTGGGCATTGGGTATATGATATTCATTATAATAAAGGTTTCTGTATTTCCCAATGAATGAAAAACAAAAAGATATTGTTTCATTCATTGGGAAATACACGAATGCCACGAAAGACTCATCGGAGAAACGGGTGGGCAACTATTTCTGAGAAAAATGGCTCCTTAATTAGCTCTCAGGATAGACGCCTTGAACGCTGGAAAGAACACTTTGAGGGACAATTTAACTTGCCTACAGCCACACTGAACCTCCCCGCCATCCACACACCCGAATGGGATATAGACACTGGTCCGCCGTCTGTAAGTGAGGTTACAAAAGCTATCAGTAATTTGAAACGAGGCAAAGCGGCAGGACCCGACGGAATTATTCCGGAGGTGTTTAAATATGGGGGTGACATACTAGTTTGTAGATTAACTGAGGTACTAGGCAAAGTCTGGGAATCAGAGACAGTCCATCAGACTGGGGTAAGTCACTTATTATACCGATATTCAAGAAGGGAAACAAGTCCTCGTGTGATAATCATAGGGGGATCAGCCTAACGAACATAGTCTCTAAAATCCTAGGCTCAGTAATCATGCATAGACTAAGCAGAACTCGGGAGGAACAGACAAGGGAAAATCAAGCAGGCTTTAGACCAGGTAGAGGGTGCATAGATCATATCTTCACTCTTCGACAGATTCTAGAACATAGACACACTTTTCGGCGTCCAACAATTGTCATATTTCTTGACTTGAAGGCGGCCTTCGACTCCGTGGATCGAAAGGTACTATGGCAATGTCTGACTGTGAAGGGAGTGCCAAGAAAGTACATTGCACTAATCAAGGCACTCTATTCAAACTCACGTAGTCGTGTAAGGGCTTATGGGGAATTGTCATCTGAATTAGTAACAACCAGTGGTGTCCGACAGGGATGTCCACTTTCCCCATTTCTGTTTAACTTCATCATAGATATGCTAATGGAAGTATCCTTAACTGAACGTAACGACTTAGGAATCGACTTGTTACCAGGGAATAGTCTTATGGACTTAGAATATGCAGATGACATAGTCCTGTTAGGGGAGGATGCTGACAAAATGCAGAGTCTTCTGAACACCTTGAGCAGCAATCTTCGTATGTTTGGCATGCGATTCGCCCCTACAAAATGTAAGATGCTGCTACAGGACTGGACCACGTCAACCCCTAACTTAGTGATAGGGAGTGAAGTGATAGAACATGTTGACCACTTCACCTATTTGGGAAGTTGTATTAGCACCAACGGACTGATTGGCGATGAAATCTCAGCACGGATCCGAAAAGCTCGAGCTGCTTTCGCTGACTTACACCATCTCTGGCGTAGGCGTGACATCCGGTTATCAACCAAGGGACGTGTGTACTGCTCAGCAGTTCGCTCCGTCCTTCTCTATGGCTCTGAAACATGGCCAATACGCGTTGAAGACATGAAAAGGTTGACTGCTTTCGATCATAGATGTCTGCGATCTCTGTCTCACGTTAGGTGGTTTAATAAGGTAAGTAATGTTGACGTTAGGCGTAGAGTGTTGGGCAAAGAGGGAAAATCAATCGACGAGGCTATAAAGTTACATAGACTAAGATGGCTAGGTCACGTGCTGCGCATGCCTAACCACCGCCTCCCCCGACGGGCATTACTAGCTGATATAGGTGAAGGTTGGAAAAGAGCCAGTGGTGGCCAAACAAAAACATGGCCTCATCAATCCATGAAATCCTTGACAGTTAAACTGAGTCAGGTAGGGAGATGCAGACTTCCGGGTTGGGGCCCTCGGGACTCTAGGAATCAATGGCTGGAGACAATAGGTGACATGGCTCAAAATCGTTGTCAATGGCGCAGATGTATTCAGTCTCTGTAATCTTTCATATTCCTTTCTACCATTACCCATTCTGTTTCACTCTTATACTTGTCAAACTCTATTGATTCTCTTCACTCATCTTCTTGTCTACCTCTGTGTGCTATTTGGAAGGTGGCAACTCGAACTTCTGCAATTCGGTGCTAAGTTCTATGTTGAACCCAGACAGACAGAGACAGAATTGCCACGAATACTTAAGCTAACTTTTAATTATTCCAAAAATCCTCCACTATGTCTTTAAACATAAAGTGAAAATTACAATCTACAATAATATATGCATATAACACTCACTTCATTTGTACACAATCCAACAGCCCAAGCAGCACCTGCATTATTCTGCAGTTTAACTTCAAAATAGGCATAATCTTGTAATATTGGAATATTCGTCCTGGCAGCACCATTAGAGCAGATTCTCAACCCGGATTTCAAGATTAGCACAGAGGGACCAGCACTCAGTACATCCAGTTTGACATAGAATTTCATTAATTCCCTATCAAGTAGTGTATAGTCATCGTCAAATATATTATTACGTCGACAGCATCTAAATACTGTAAACAATGACTGAAATAGAACGAAAATGTACAACAAACTTTTTGTTAATATGAATAATAATAACAATAATAATAATAATAGCGCCAATACACAACTGTTCAAAATTTATGCATAATACACTGCACAACACGCACGAACTGCACTCTTCTTTTGATCAAAAATCATTCATTCGGTGTCTGATTTTACTTTCAAAATCAAGAGCGTTTAATCATTTGTTTTGAATGCTATGGAGACATATATATATATATATATATAAATTCGTTCCTTTGTCTGACACACTGGTATTATTACTTCTCAATTGACAATTAGGAATCGGCATTTAAATTGTTGAGATTAAAGGTAGTGACTGAATTCTATCTATGAGCCAAGTGTTATATTATGACATCACATCTCCTAGGGTTACCTAACAAAGGTAAAATAATATTTTTCATATTTGCTTTAGCGAAAAACTGATGAGATATAGTGAAATTACTTATTATGATAAATTAAAGTGTTATTTTGTATGAATTTGACTGATTACCGGAATTCATCATGAGCTGAGATAGGGAACATTGGACAACCACCTGCAAGTACTGCCAGGCAGATATTTCGTCTGCTTAGTCTGGGACTCTGCTTCAGCAGTACGCATCTGCTGCCAAGGTTCGAAACCACGACCTCCCGATTACAAGTTAAGAGAGTTCGTAGGCTATTAAGCCACTGGGGAACCCGCCAATCCAGTGGCCAGCCAATCCATTATTTCCAACATCTGCCAATTCAGGCAGGATATAGCGACACCACTTCGCATTAGCCAATGTCATTGGTGGCGAGTGTTTGTCCTCACACCCAACCTGCTATACCCCATATCATACTGATGTGACTGGCCCTATTCAAGTATATAGCTACCTGGATGGATTCTAGTAAGAAGTCGTGACCAGTTAGGGTATAGCAGGTTGGATGTCTGAACAAATACTAGCCACAGATGGCATCGGCTAATGCAAAGTGGTCGGTCGCGCCATATCCTGCCTGAATTGGCAGATGTTGGGAATCATGGACTGGCTGGCCACTGGATTGGCGGGTTCCCCAGTGGCTTAATGGCCTACGAACTCGCTTAACTTGTAATCGGGAGGTCGTGGTTTCGAACCTTGGCAGCAGATGCGTACTACTGAAGCAGAGTCCCAGAATAAGCAGACGAAACATCTGCCTGGCAGTACTTGCAGGTGGTTGTCCAATGGTTCTCTAACCTGTGTCAGTCAGTTCATTCTGAAATTCTGTAAAAAATATGATATATGTCTGCGAATCGAGTGAAGCGTATATTCATTCTGAAATTTGAACTGACACTATCAATACTGAGTGCAGTTAATGTGTAGAAGAAATCAGATCGCATCGTTTTACGAAATACTTGGTTTCCACGTAACACAAGAAGGACAAGATAAATCAACTATCAGTTACTCTGACTGTCTCACAAACATTTTTTGTTTGCGCAGGATTTAACAGATTAAAAGACATACGAGAATGAAAATATCATAAATCTTTTTGTTTTTATTCAGTTGTCTTACCAAAGCAAGATAGGGCTTCTACCTGCAGCTCTGAAGTTTGACAGTAGTAGTGATGTTGTTTTTTCTAAGGAGAGGAGGAGGCTGCTAGACCCAGACTGTCTTTACCGGACTTACCACCACCTGAGAGAGGTTAAGGAATATGTCGACGAGGGTTAGAACACCGGACCATATGTGGAGTGTTTGGTGATGATTCCACTGCTAAATACCACCAACGGACTACTTTCTTGCCTGGTGGTACTCGTCAGAATCTGTAGGCTTAAAGGAACTTATGTCCCCTTTGAGAGCGGAACTCGCTGTGCTACAGCCAGACACGTCGCACCACTGGGCTACCCGAGCTCAAAGTGATGTAAACATTATTGGGGCGGGGTGTATACATATAGCGTACAGCCTGCTCAAACCTTGAACACAACGATCAGTCGCTCAATATCCTATCTTCCTAAGTGAATCCGGTGACAAGACGCGATTAGAACATCATCAGAACACGCCGTCGTGTATTTGCTTCATCATTATTCTGATTGTATGGTATTCATATAATAAAACAATTCAACCTTATACATGCTGATATAGATAATACAATACACCGATCCCCGGTTTTTCTCACATTGCACCACCAAAGCCAAGTTTCAAGACTGAGTCTGCAGAAGACTATAGTCCACTGACAATTTTGTTAAAGAACGCGGATTGAACCACGCTCCTAGTGAATTTCCATTTTCAAGAAAATGACACACTATGGAAATTACTTTATACTATCTGAGAAATTGCTGGGTATCTGTAAACTTGGAGGGATCCACGTCCCTCCTGAGATTCAAATCCGTGTAATCCAGTGCTGCATTAAGATACGTTACTACTGGGCTATTCGGGCTTACGATTAAACTGCTTTAGGATTGTGTTGGATACACATGACACTAGCTGATACCTAGTGGTCAGCTGCGAGGCCAACTAACCCAGTGGTAACGTCTCTTAAAGCAGAAGGGATATGAGTCCCCTGAAGATTACAGACACCTTGCTGACGATTGGCAAACAAGCAGGAGACCTAAGGCTGAGCCTTCCCACCGCATACTTCCATCAACTTACAGACCACACAGGATTAAAGTCTTGAACTAGCTAAATCATCGACGCGCCAGTAGTAGTACAATTATAAAATACTCCCTTTAGAATGAGTGTGTTGCAATTAAATTGTTGCATATTCTTACTAATTCGCATTGTTTTCCGCCTCCTGAAATTAGTAAACTCTGTCATCTAAAATAAGGACTTCTCGGATACTTATGTGATCCAGTTAAATTATGATGGAATAATACAAAAGTGATATCGTAAAAAAGAACAGCATTAGTGGACTGTTGTGTCATTTAATTCTGTAAGAATATAAATTAAAAGACTGTTGTAATCCAAACTTGTAAAACTCAGCAAAAAAAATTCATTTCAACAGTGTTTACTAGGTAGTACGATTAGCATAGTTCTTTTCCCTGTTTTTAACCTAGTCCAAGTAACCGATCCTACATGCCCCAGGCTCGTAAATCATACTTGCTGTATGAGGGCACCAACCAGTTACTTGCCCAGGCCAAAGTATGCGGCAAGGTATTCAAACCCGGGAGCCCCTAACTGACAGCCTACTGCTTAAGCCAGTGAGCCATGTCTTCATCAAGGCTCTAGTACACTGAAGGCCACCTTTCGACATAAGGCTCACGGATGACTTCATATTCGTATTAAAATTAAGAAAGATGAATCCTTTAAAACAGGTTGGTTTCAGACACATGATTTTGGGAAATCTAATCATTGTAGTGTTATCATTTAGAATAATGTGGAGAAGTTGGAAGACAGCTGGATATATAAAGTGAAGCAGTTTTATGTGTTCAATATATAAAACTCCTAGAAGCGAACAGCTTTGACGTTGCTTATAAATCAGCGGATATCCCATCAACTCAGTGAGATGGGGTCCATTTAGTGCCGTTATGGCTCTGTTTTGAGGGTTACGGTGACAGTAAAGAATAGAAACCAACGTCAAATGTAACCTTGAACCAACCAGTCGGATCTCTGACCAGCACCACAAATGGATGCTGTTCACATAACCATTGTTGCAAGTTTCACCCAGATTTCGTTTTTGACTTCTTTATGGGAAATGGGTTGATAGGATGAACTAAAACACGCATATGTGATGGAGGGATAATGATTCCTCAGAACTACTGCCAAGCTATTGATGGTTGGTCATGCATTCAGATGCAGTTACTGTATTATGTCAGGAAGTATGTAAGAGTTGTTGGTAAGTTGCACATTATACTGTAATTTTTTATATTCTCTTCTCGAAATCGAAACTCTGCCTTGATCAAATGTTACCTATATGCCACAATCAGCTTTGGAGATGACTAGCATCTCTGCTACAGCTGTGGAAGCGGAGAATACTAAAATTTCAACAAAAGTGCAGTGGTATCAGCACAGTACTGTCGGGATATTGCCTCCTCACAAAACGTCAATGGACTTACTTGGAGGAATTGGTGTCGTCGTTCATTTTGACGAGACAGTACTTATTAAACGAAAAATGGATCGCCGCGAAAGGAGACAAGCAAAACAATCTTTAGGTGCTGGTATAGTGTAAGATACAAGTATTCGAAAAGCGTGAACAGTATAATGAATCCTGCCAAACAGAAGTGCCGATGTTTTAGTGATACCAATAATACAACCACTAACTAGTCTTCCCAGACACTAACTACCCTTCACATCGACGACGAATGGAGTGAGGTTATTCGCAACTATCATCATTTGGCTATATTCATCATAAAGTCAATAATTCTTCTAAATTCGTGGAACTAATACAAATTCTATTGAAGGATTCTGGACCCATTTAGAAACAAACATATAAGAACGGTAAATGATTCCCGTTATGATGTGGTATGATATACAGACAAACTTAGATGAATTTTGCGGCGACATTGATTTGATATGTCTATAAACGCACTCCTATGAGAAAATGAGACCGACTTCTGCACCATATGTTCATTTTTATAACATATATACATATTATAAATACACTACTTTATAAAACAGATGCCACTTTTCACCTGGAAGAATCTGATTGATTGGTTCAAGGTCATTCGACTTCGGTGCTTACTCTTCCCTGATGCCCGAATCATTCTTATTTCGGCCTTCAGTGACACAGTAAATCCTATCTACCAACCATCGATGGATACATTCACATAACAAACACACTCATGATGGATGTTAGAAGTCAAAAAACATCACAAAAGAGGCACCAACCCACATTATTGATTAGTCAAACAAGGGAAAGAGAGAGAAAACCAGGGTGGTAATCTTTTAAGGAATAATATTATATTTGTTTGTTTGTTTGTTTTTTGCATGACAACTACAGATCAGGAGAATAAGACCATGGGGGAGGGGGAACAG